CAGAACACAGGTAAAACAGCTTCCACAGCCATAGCAGCAAACACGCCAGGAATCACTAGACCATGCCGTCCTCCCTCGATGCCTGGCAGCCTGGATGTAGGATGATGCTTCCCCTGCTCCAAGGCGCCTACTTGGATCGCTGCCTCATCTTTCGGCGCTTCCTCTTGAGCCTCCTCATCCTCTTCTTCTTCCACTGCAAATTTAAGTAACCGCACAGTTCATCAGCACAAATTGCGTAGTACTACTCTAGGAGATGCATGGCCAAATAACAAGAAAGTACAATTTGTTTTGGAATCAGAAGATTGAGTGTTTCATTGGATATCATCACGTGATTTTCAGAAACACGGACCAATTGTTCTTCATCATTTCCCAAAGACTGACAATGTTGAAAAGGCAAATAGGAAACAACCAAACTAAGATATCTAAGGAACTAGCTAAGCAAAGTAGAGATATGCAGTCGGTTCGACATTCAGAATGAGTAGGAGGATTTTATCATCAAATGGATCAGACGCCAATAGTCATCCTCATCATGCCAACCGACGCAATTGAACGAAAGAAAGAACAAATCTAGAAAGAAACACTGGCAAAGAAAACACTGTTCTCTCAGACAAATGCCTCGATTGTCCACATGGTTTTATAGAATGGATTACATCGGACTCGTCATCTGTTTTCATCATCACAGAGAACTATAAACAAACATGCGCAAAAAATATCAACTCAGTCAACAGAAACTACATCCTAGAATCTCTGAGAACAGGCAAATCGAACTATAATAGCAGGTTCTCTCAGACAAATTTGCCTCATTTTTGTCCCCACGGTTGAATGGAATGGATTGGATCGGACATCTAATCAGTGTTGATCATCACAGAGAACCACTAATTACGACATCGAGCAACAGCAACAGCAGGAACGTAAGCTCGATAAACACTAGCACATGCCCAGATCTACCGCGGTCGCGAAGCAGCTAATAGGAGAGAAGGTAGACGAAGGGCAGTACGAACCTTGGCCCTCATCGCGGCGGCGGAGTCGGCCTCGCTCTCCTTTTCGCGGCGGCGGCGGCGGCGGAAGGGTGTGGACGATCCCGATCTCCGTAGATTGTTGGCGGCGGGGGCTCTGGACTCGTACTTTATAGGGGTGGGGTGCTGGGAAGGGGGGAAACCCTAGCGGGTGGACGGCTCGGATCAGCCGCTGAGCGGCGTTCTGATCCGATTTGGTCGGTCTCTGGTTCGCAGCCCTAATGGGCCTTCAAACCAACGTCTCGGCCCACGGTCACATCTAAGATGATGGGCTTCCCTTCACCTGTTCTTAAACTGGGCCTCCTCCTCGCTTGCTTGACTCGGCCTGATCGGTTCTGCTAAAAAGAAACAAGAATTTCTCATCTCAGAACTAAAAAACAAGATGTTCTCCATGTGTTGATGAGGAGCTAGTTGAACGACTTGCAGGATGCAGATCATGTATCATGTTCCACCACTGGCAAGGTTTTTAGGAGACCGCTTGTCGCACTTCATGAGAAGATCTTTCAGAGAGTGAAACAGGGGAGGCAAGCATGCACTGGAGGGAAGCTCTTTTTGGAGCTAGATGAATAGCAACTTGCCGACTTCAACAGCTCGTTTATACACACGTCATGGAGACAAAAGAATTGATGAAAATGCACAAACATGACGGTAATAACTTCAAAAAGATGATCACAGCTGCGCACCTCAGAATTCATAATCGCATAAGATTAACTCGGACAAACAACAACTACCACGAACCGAGCACTCCCCTCGGTCGCTCCCGCGGGCGACCAGCCGCCAGCGCCTCTCACCGGCGCTCCCTCCCCTCGCCGCCGCCGGCAGGGGTCGCCGGGCGAAGCCCGCGCGGCTCGGCGACAGCAGGGCCCTCTTCCTCCTCCTCGTGGTCGCGCAGCGCGGCGCGTCACATCGGGGGAGCTCCGACTCGTGGTCGCTGCGGGCGGCGCGGCGAGGCGACAAGGCGGCGCAGTGTGGCGGCTGAGCAGCGACGCTTGGTGCGCGGGCTGACGCGGTCGGGTGTGGGGTCCCGCGGCGGATCTTGGTGCGCGGGCTGACGCGGTCGGGTGTGCGGCCGCGTTCGGTCGCGGGGAGTCCCGCGGCGGCCGGATGTGCAGCGAGCGGTCGCGGCGGATCTGGCGCTGTGCGGCCGCGTTCGGTCGCGGGGAGTCGTGCACGGCGTGGTTACGACAGGAGAGGCCGCGGATCTGGCAGGGTCCGCGCATGTTTGAGAGGTGCGGCGGCTGCTGCACCACGATGAGGAGTCGGTGGACGTCGACCGGAGATTGTGTGCTGCGCAGTGCTTCGGATCTGCTCGGATTCGGAGGTTGAAAGGATCAATATGGTTGACTAGAGGGGGGTGAATAGACAACTAACAATTTTTAACTTTTCTTTACCAAATTAAACTTTGCATCAAAGTAGGTTGTCTAGAAGTGCAACTAGGTGAGCAACCTATATGATGCAATAACAACAAGCAAACAAGCAAGCAAGAGAAGTAACACTAAAGAGATTGCACAAGTAAAGGTAAGAGATAACCAAGAGTGGATCCGGTGAAGACGAGGATGTGTTACCGAAGTTCCTTCCTTTGAGGGGAAGTACGTCTCCGTTAGAGCGGTGTGGAGGCACAATGCTCCCCAAAAAGCCACTAGGGTCACCGTATTCTCCTCACGCCCTCACACAATGCGAGATGTCATGATTCCACTATTGGTGCCCTTGAAGGCGGCAACCGGACCTTTACAAACAAGGTTGGGCAATCTCCACAACTTAATCGGAGGCTCCCAACAATACCACGAAGCTTCACCACAATGGACTATGGCTCCGTCGTGACCTCAACCGTTTAGGGTGCTCAAACACCCAAGAGTAACAAGATCTGCTAGGGATGAGTGGGGGAATTGAAAATCCCTTGGTGGAAGTGTAGATCGGGGCCTTCTCAACCACACCCGAGCAAATCAACAAGTTTGATTGGCTAGAGCAAGCGGTACTGCCGCTCCAGCTGGCGGTACTGCCGCGCAGAGGAGAGCAACAGGGATCTGGACCCAGAGCGGTACTACCGCGGTGGTAAGGGCGGTACTACTGCTCCGAAACGGTACTACCGCCTCTACTGCCGCAACTAGTGCCGCAAAACCCGACACGAGAAAAGGAGCCCTCGAGTCGAGGCGGTAGGAGACAGACAGACCAGCGGTAGTACAGCTGCGGAGTCACGGGCGGTACTACCGCTGCGGAGCGGTACTGCTGCTTGTGACCCTTCGGCGGTACTACCGTTGGGTAGTGCGGTACTACCGCTGGGTAGTGCGGTACTACCGCTGGGACACAGACAAGAGAGAGAGAGGATCTCTCCGTCGAGGCTGAGGACGAGGCGGTGGTGCCAGGCAGGCCAGCGGTAGTACTGCTGTGGAGTCACCGACGGTACTACCGCTGCGGAGCGGTACTGCCGCTTGTGACTCCTCGACGGTACTACCACTAGGTTGCACAGTACTACCGCTGGAACCCAGACAGGACACAAAAGAGAAGAGATCTCTCCAACTAAGTGGAAGAGCTCTGAGAGTGAGAAGCTGATGTGTACGTGTTGATTTCACCCAAGCAATACCCCAGCGGACCCCCTCTTGATAGTACGGTGCCCTCTACGCAACTAGACCATCGAAAGAGAAACGAAAGAGCTACATCGTCTTGAATGACACTCCGAAGGGAAGAAATCGTCTCGTGCCAAGGATGAATCCGTGAAATACTCAAAGCACACGATTAGTCCGCAAACATGTTATCATCAATCACCAAAACTACATCGAGAGAGATATGCCTCAACAGAGGTGTGGCTCGCTCTCGACATTGGTTGGGTGGCATCCTTGTCCCGCTTGGGCGGTGGGGGTGTCGGCTCGGTCGATGCGCCCCAGAGGGGGCTGTCTGACTCTATGTCGGGGCGGCGGCCCCGGATATGGTGCGATATTCGTTGTCTGCGAGCGGTTGCCCTGAGCAGCGTGGGCTGCGGGCAGCTGGGCTGTGCGGCGTTGCTGCTCGAGTAGAGCGGTGGTATGTCGGGGCGGCGACCTCGGAAGGCGGTGCCGGTGGAGTGCACTGGGCGCGACGGAGCGGTAGATGTCGGGGCGGCGACCCCGAGAGGATCTCTGTGGCGACCAGGCTTTTGTGGCAACAATGATGGTGGGAGCGATGTTGGTGACGCGACAATGGTTGCGGTAGTCGGCTCTTCTCCGCCGTGTCCGCGGTTTTGCCTCGGTTTGTTTGTTGCTGTGGAGTCGAAGCTGCGGCGGCGAGACCCTATGGTATACGATGACTGGCTGCAAGTGGCCCGTTCGGCAACAGCTTTCGTCTAGTTTTGTTCTTCTGAGTTCTCCGTCAAAGTCGGAGCGGCCACAGGTCGACATGTTGTCGATTAGGATGGGCTTTGCCCTGAATGTGCTTGTCTCTGGGAGTGGGCTTGGTCCTCGTTGTTCCTGTTTTTGCCCGGTTTTCCATAATTAACATGAGCAATTCTCTTCTGTTTAATTAATAGATTAGGCAATCTCTGCCTCCGTTTCAGAAAAAATAACTCGGACAAACATATAGACATAAGAACTCGCCAAAAGAAAACCTCACATATCTGAAACTCCTAGACAGCAAGCATATAAACAGCCCACGCCTTAGGATTCATTCCCTCAGGATTAATCACAAATCATCTCGCTGACACTGTCCACACTAGGATTTTTCTACTCCTGCCTGGAACAGTTATCATACATCTGTCCTCCAACAGCATATAAACAGCGGGAGCAAAGCTCAAATTATACCGATCGGGGCACAGGACATCCATATCCACGTTACGGCAATGCCTGAGATTAAAAGAGGATTCAAGCTACAAAAGATCATTCTGCCAAGTCGATCGTTGCTCAAATGCCAGATAAAGGGGTTTGGATACATGATTGATTCAACTCATAACATCAAAACATTACGACAAGTAGTAATAGTTCTTGAACACAATGACTACAGATAGGTGAAAGCAATCTAGAAGAGGGATGTTCCCTTGCCCTTCTTGTCTCCACCGATCTCAAAATGCTTGCACCTCTGCAAAGGAATAAAGACAGACTGAGCAAAGCATAACGGAACAAAAATAAATGTTCAGTTCAAGAAAAAAAGGAACAGACCTTGATGGCGCGCTGGGAGTAGTGCTTGCAGCTCTGGCACTGCAGCTTCAGCACAATCTTCTTGGTGGTTTTTGCCTGAAGAAAAGGTCACGTAATTAGCATTTCCCAACTGGCTTTAATCTTTATCTGATTTTACACTAACCAGACACACCATAAGTAGATGGCAATGAAATTGATAGACAAATCAGATCAATTGACAATCACACGCAAAGATGTTGCCATACCTTCTTGTGGAAAACGGGCTTGGTCTGACCACCATATCCCGACTGCTTCCTGTCATAACGACGCTTTCCCTGGGCAGACAGGCTGTCCTTACCCTTCTTGTATTGAGTGACCTTGTGAAGGGTGTGCTTCTTGCACTCCTTGTTTTTGCAGTAGGTTTTCTTGGTCTTCGGAACGTTCACCTATTTAGCATTCGCAACATAACTAATGTTAAAACAGGGTTTGCATGAAACTGCATACAGTTTCAGATGACACTGCAATAGCTAAAAAAGTAGCTCTAGAAACAAGTTCAGTAAATGTTCAAGAAATACTAAAAAAGCCACTAGTACAATAAACAATTAGCTCCTCAGAAACATGCTTATGGTTGTCATCACAAGGATAATCAGGTCTCAAAGATTTCATGCCATCATAGGACCCCATAATTAAAATAGCAAACATTAAACAGTAAGAATTGAAATTGCAGCATTACTTGCATAACAAAATCATATTATCACATGGTAAGAAAGAAGTAATTAATGGCAGATGGTCTGCTTGGGGCAATACATGCAAACAATGGCTGTAAGTTTAGTTTTAGGTTAGCTAAGAATAAAAAGCTCGGATGTCAAACACACCAAACAAAATCACTAATACTCCACAATATGGCCAACTGCAGTGGGTTTTAGATGTATCACGTAATGTGAAGTTGCATGAAGCACGTTCATAATATGACAGAATGAAAGATGCATAAATACAAACTATAGTCGATCTAAACACATACTAAAAACTAAATAAGACTTGTTTCTGACACGACGATCAGTCCATTCCATCTTTGAAAAAAGACCAGCTGCCTGATATAAACTAGTACCAGCTTATACATATCTAAAGCACATCTCATACACAGTAACTAGAAACCTAGAGCAGTACTAAATTAAGCTAAAATACAGCTCATCAGTGCACAAAAATCCAGCGTGCACAGAGAGAATATAATTCAATTCTGTGCTTTTAGACATCATCACATGGTTTTCAGAAACACGGGCCAATTGTTCTTCATCATTTCCCAAACTGAAGTTAATTTCAAAGGCAAAGAGGAAACAACTATTCTATGATATCTACACAACTAGTTCAGCAAAGTAGAGATCTGCAGTCGGTTTGACATTCAGAATGAGTAGGAGGATTTAATCATCAAATAGATCAGACAAGAATTGCCTTCCTCATCATGCCACCAACGCAATTATACAAAAATGGTGGAAAAAGTGAGCAAAGGAAATGGCTAAGCAATCAATGCTCTCTCAGACAAATGCCTAGATTTCCACATGGTGTAACTGAATGGATTATATCAGACTCGTCATCTATTTTCATCATCACAGAGAACTATCAAAATAGCACTCTACTCTTACACAATAAGCACATGGAATTCAAGCAGCAGCATGACAGGGCAAAGGCATAACAGAACCAGTGTTCTCTCAGACAAATGCCTCGTTTTGTCCCCATGTTTTAGCGGAATGGGTTGGGTCGGACATCTAATCGGTGTTGATCATCACAGAGAACCCACAAGCACCAGCGCGTGAGCCGCGGAGAAAAAGAGGCAACAATTGGTAAACACGAGCGCATCTACCGCAGTCGCAAAGTGATCCTCTAGCAGGAAATCGCATCCTAAGGTAGGTGGACGGGGGAGGAGCACAGGCGAGGGACAAACCATGGCGGCGGCGGCGGCGGCGGTGCTCGCGCTCGGTCGGTTAGCGTCGTCGTCGGCAGCGGCGGCGGCGGAAGCGTGTGGAAGATTGGCGGCGGGGGCTCTCGCCTCGTTCTTATAGGGCTTGGGTGCTGCGGAGGTGGACGGCTCTGATCAGATCGGCCGCTGCACGCAGTGATCCGGTCGCGTCTCTGGTTGGTGGGCCTAATGGGCCTTCGAACCGACTCCTAGGCCCACGCCCACGTAAGATGAGATGACTGCTCGACTTGGTCTGTTCTGATCGGTTTCCCAGAGGAGTTTGTTGGGCGAGATGACCTGCGGCGACCTCCCCAGCTCGCCGGCGCCGGAGGTGGCGGCCCCGCTGGAGGACGAGAACCTCCTCCCGGAGATCCTCGTCCGGCTAGCCCCGCTGCCGTCCGCCCTCCCTCGCGCCTCTCTCGTCTGCAAAAGCTGGCGCCGCCTCGTCACCGACCGCCGCTTCCTCCGCCGCTTCCGCGCGCACCACCTCCGCAGCCCACCTCCCCTGATCGGCTTCTTCGAGGAGGTGAGCCGCAAACCCGACGCCCCGAACCCCGCCCCGGACGCCCCCGAAGTCCTCTCCTTCACCCCTATCCTGGATCACCCCGACCGCGTCCCGGTCGAGCGCTTCTCCCTGCGCCTCCACGACGGCAGCGGCCGCTCCAGCATCGGCTGCCGCGACGGCCTCGTGCTCCTCATCGACCCGGCGGGCTTCGACATCGAGGTCCTCGTGTGGGACCCCGTCACGGGCGACCAGCACCGCTTCCTCATCCCCTGGGTGATCGACGACGGCCAGGGCACCGAGATCTTAAACGGGGCGGTCCTTCGCACCGCCGGAATCCTCGACGATCGCCCCTTCCGGTTCCAGGCGGTCTTGACCGGCGTCGACAGGCAGAACAAGCGGCTGTTCGCCTGCGTTTACTCGTCCGAGACCGGCAAATGGGGCGATCCAATCTGGGTATCCGCGGATTTTACGAGCGGCGTAACCACCATGATTGAGATGCGTGTTTCCAGTACCCTGGTCGGGAATTCCCTCTACTGGTCCCTTTGCTCAATTGCTTGGGAGGTAGCTGCCATCCTTCAATTTGATTTGGATACACAACACCTGGCTGTCATACACTTACCCTGCTTGGGTAAGTGTAGTAGGAATGGCAGCCGGACCTTCCGGGCTATGCCCGTGGACGGCGGTGAGCTTGGCGTCCTTGAGCTGTTAGACGCCAACCTCCATTTGTGGAAAAGGAAGATCGACCGTGATGGTGTTGTTTCATGGGTGCTGGGGAAGACTATTGGATTGGAGGAACTTCTTTATATAGATAAAAGGAAAATGGGCCCAATGATGCTCGGGTATTGCGAGGACAATAATGTGGTGTTTATATGGACATATCACGGCATTTTCATGGTCCAGCTTGAGTCACTGGAAGTGTACAAGCCTCCCATACAGACATTTTACTGTTTGGTTCATCCATTCACAAGTGTCTACACTGCAGGTAAATGCCCAAGTAATTTTCTATAATTGATTGATGAATTTTTTAACCCCTTGTTGTTAGACTAATAATATAAATTGAATATCTGTCAACTGTTATTTTGCTGCTTGATGGGTTATTTGAATAGATAATCATAATGTTTATCATATTATTATTGTTATGATGATGATGATGATTGTCAAACTATGTGGTTCAACCCAGAGGTAGCAAGCACTATATGTTAAGTCTATTTGATGAACAAGAAATATATTGTTATGCAAAAGCCATATGATGCCAGTGATTTACTTTCCCTCGAGATTAATACCAGCTGGAAACAGGAAAACTAAGCTTGAACCAACTGCAACAGTGAAATGCCCAAATGGGTAGCTCAATTGTCACATGTAAAGGCTTAAAACTAGTTATATCCTCTGGTCCATTTTTTGTTTATAGTAATCTTGCTAACTTAAATCCATAATGAAGGCTTAGTTTGATCTTGACAAGATAATTGTTCATTTTTACCACTTATTGAAGATTCGCAAGTGCCACAGTATATTTGTACTAGAGGATAAGTGAATTGAGTTTGTTTCATCTTTTCAAGCTAAAGTTATTTAACTCTGAATTGTCGTTATTTCTTTGTTCTTAATTTTTTTTGGTTTGAATACATTATATTTTGTCAACTTCAGATAACACAGGGCAAGATTAGAATAACTCTTCCTAATCAGCTAATATTATGTGCATGCCATTGTGTTTTAGGAGGTTACTTAGTATATATACCGTTCTCAGAAATATTCTATGCAAGGCAATAGATGTGCTTTTGTGTTTATCTATTCCTATGTTGAAAAATGTGTTTTTCCTCTCTCAATTTTGTCTTGTGTAAATATCTCGTTGTTATCCCATCATATCTTTGGTCTAAATATCATTGGTTGTTTGGCTTATGCTTGTAGACATGGGCATTGGTGGTGAACCTGATGAAGCCAAATTTCTGAGCAATGCAATGCATAAGGTGACTTTATAACATTGGTTTACAGGTAATGGAAGCTTATCTTCGTATTTCAGTTTAGGGATCATAACCGTTACCTTTTGTTTTTGTTACAGAAATGTTCCCTTTACGACCATTTTTGAATAATTAAATTTTGAGTGAGGACTAATTCCCGACGACCCTTTGCTCAGCTGTTCCCTCCTTCCGTAATGCTATTATGGCAAGCTGCCACTGGGCTCTTTTATCCTGATGCTGCTTCTTCTATTCACCTTTTATGAGGCTTACCCTGCAGCTCCATTCCTTTCCTCAGCTGCTCTCTCATACCTCCTATCCTCTCTCCTGGACGAACTCTTTTGCTTAGCCTACATTCCATCCAGCTGCCTTGCTACCGGTTTGCCTCGTCCCTAGTGCTACTGCTCTAATGTTTGGTTGTTTCCTCCTTGTGGCTCCTCGGATGGCTGATAGCTTTGGACATTTCCCATTCCCAATTTGTGCATATGTTCTTAATTGCACATAGATGAGAATGCTGTCGTGCTATGCAGTATGTAATAGAATGGAACACAACCCCCTTTCCTCCCTATAGCTCGTGGGATGTATCACGTCCTATTGTGATTCTAAAGTTGTCACCTTGATGTAAATATTTGATAAGTAGCAATATACACGCTTATAACTACGCCCTTCCACATTGATGCTCATTTTGGATAGTTATGATACTTACTTTTCTGAGCGAAGTTCCAAAAACTCTGCGCATGTTTCATTATAAGAAGAGAAGAAGGTTTTGATTCGATACAATAAACCCATGTGTGGCTAATTCACTCTTAAGGAGAGGGAGATCACAATAAGAACCAAAACAACATGGAACGAAGGCTCTACTGCCTCCACTGTGGTTAATGCGAATTATTGTTGAAAGCATGATGACGTCTATCTGCCTCCAATTTATTCTTGGCCAACACCGTGTCCATGTATGTGCTCTCGCCTTAGAATGCGCTGCTCTTCCTCACAGAAATCCCTGCGCCGGTCCTTGTGAGCCTTCTTCTTCCTTGATAGCCACCATGCTGCATAGTGTCCAGTACACAAGATCGCAGCGTTGCTGCCATGGCCAGACCAGTGAGGATTGCTCAGCCAAATCTGGCAGATCTACGTGCATCACACAGAAAGATGCTTGGCCATCTCCTGATGCTGCGCAGCCCAGGTTTTTCAGCTTCTGGTGCTCGAGGTGGTTGGCAGTACAACAGCGATGCTGAAGGTCCACCAAATGGAGAAGCGGGTGACTTCGCCTTCCAGAGGACCTTTTGGCAGTTGTTATATTTTTAATGCTGTAGAGTGTTTGAAAAGGTAATGTCTATTTTGGACCGATGGAAGTATCAGTTTGTAGTACGATGCATGATCCCTTGTTTGAGGCTTCTACTGCATGATTTGGTTGATTTAAAATTTTTAATTAGTAACTGGCTATTTCTTACACTTCAAAAACATGTGACTTTGGGCTAGAAGGCAGATGTATCTGCTTTCAACTCCATGAATCCCTCGTATGCCCATGAGGAAGTCTTTTTCTATCTTTTTTTGAATCTTTTCTGATTTGGTGTCGGTTTTGTTCCACCTTTGGAGGTTTGATATAAGTTCCGCAAGCAATACAAACTTTGACTTTTAATGGCTTTTGCCTTATCAACCAGTGGTACAAATTGGTTTGACAAGTGACTGTTTCCGCAGGTATCTAGAGTTCTCATCCGGTTTCTGATTTTGTTGCCGGCTTGTAATGATGAAGTTGATGTTTATGCTTTTAAGTAATGCAAATGCTTTGACATATTATTACTTTAATGGCTTTTGCCTAATCAATCAGCGGTACAATTGGTTTGACAAATGAGACTGTTCTGCAGGTATCTAGAGCTCTTATTCGGGTTGCTGGGCAGCGGAATGGCTTACCGGTGCGGTGCAGGCTCCGTCCATCTTCTAGGCAGCAAGCATGTTCTGTCAACTGCGATGTAGACTTGTAGGATAGATTTATTTATTTGTCCAGTTTGGTAACTTCCTTGCGTACCTGAATAATTGTAGGACAAGCAGCAACTTGCTTGGCCTCATGAATAAGGCAGTGGCATAGGCTTTGCCTCTGTCAGCTCATTGCCGCCTCCAGTTTCATTCTCTCTGTGTCTTTCATGCAACTGATTGGTACAGAGTGCTTATGCTCCGTGTTTCCATGTTGTATGCTATGCGGAGACTTCAATCTCGAATCTCTGCTGCTGGTAGTACCAAAATGTTGTTGGATTGCTTGGCTTGAGGACGAGCTTGGAAATGTCTTTGGTTGCACAGCAACCCATGGCAGCGGCCACCGCCTTTTGCTGCCTGCTTGTTCTAAGGCTTGATCTCCACTCCTATCAACAGCTGAATGGCGTCCGGCTCCGGTTGTAGGACGATTGGTGGTTCAGTAATTGGCGAGCCTTGGCCCATGCTTGGAAAATGGATTTTTTTTTTCTTTCATTCAGCAGCACTATTTATGTATTTGGTTCAGTGAATTGAGCAAAGAAAAAGTGGTGGGAATTCCTTTAATCTCACTTTTAAAGAAAAAGGAACTTTACCATCCACTTGGACCACTTTTTTGCAATGTTTGACAAGAATCTAGTTACAATTTCATGTGTTTTGACTTTGACTTGATTGTGTTTTTTCTATTCCTTTCAAACAAAAAAAGGTGAAAATGAGTGTGTTGAACCGCCTCTACCTCCCAATCTCGCAGGTAGTGGCATAGCTATATTCTGGGTCAAGGTGGTCCAATCCTCGATACAGAAAGTTCCCACAAAAATAATATGCCGACAGACGAGCTTAATATTCATCAAAAGCATAGAACATTTTATTGGATTTATTGCATGGGCAGCATGCTTGATTGTCCAAACCCTCCCCTTACATGTAACAGCTGAGGCAAATGACAAGACACTTCAGAGCAAGCACATTATGATGATAGGAGGGGATTGACCACATGACCGATGAATAGAACCACACCGGAAGTGTCTTCCCGGATAAGGAAGAGGAAAGGATGATCCGCGATGAAATCCAAGACCGAGGGCGGTCGTGCTTGTCGCAGGACTGCTTTAGCAATAGTTGTTGCTGCAGCCTCGGTTCCTGTTTCGTTCACTTCGACAAATGCTTTGTGGAAAATGGATGAGATGTAGAGGTTCTGTGCCATTGGGGAATCCACCATTTCTGAAAGATCTGCTTCAGCACCGAATGGCAGTTGCAGACCCAAACCTTTGAGCAAATCAGATGCCTCAATTCCAAATGATATCTTGAACTTGGGGAGCTTGAATTGCCTGAGTGCAACCTTCTGCCTTGGGATATGCTGCTCCAGGAACTCTGGTTCGGCACTCAACTTTTCTGCCAAGCTCCAGATACCACTTCGTGCTTCTGGAAGAAGGATGTACATGGAGAACTGCCTCTTGTCCCCACCTTGCTTGTAAGGAAGCTTCAGTACCTTCAAGCCATCAGAAGAAGAAATGTATTGTTTTTCTGAGCTGTACATGAATGGTGATTGAATTGAGCTCCCATCAAGAAGGTAGAAGTAGTCGATTTCTGTTCCACGTGGATCAAATTGATCTGTCCAAGCTCCTTTGAAATAAAGGGCATTGCCAAGAACAAGTCTAGTGTTATTGTCAATAGATCCTGCGGGGAGAATATCTTTGATGAGACCAGTTGTGACTTTCTCTACCCATGAGTTCACTTGAGCAGTAACTTCTGCGGCCTAGACCAAGGCAAAATAAAGAAAGGTCAATTATGTAATGAAAATAAATTGAAAATACTGTTGCGCCACCAAAGTTTGAAAAACAAATCCTCTCAACGTATGAAATACTATAGTTGTGCCGAGTATGCAAAGCGGAATACTAATGTTTTGTAAAGCATTTTTATATATAGTAAGGTTTCTCCCACACATAGTAAAATCATCACATGCAACCATGGATGACAGTTTTTTTTTTCATATGTGCACATGAAATTGATTAAATGGTCATCACAACATCTCGAAGCAATATTATGCAATACCTAAGGGAGTTCAGCTCATAGAGATCGATTATACATATTCCTATATGTATGCTACTCTGGAGTACAATAAGCAATATGACAGCACAACGATGAATGTTACCAAAGTATCATAAATTTATGTAAACAACAACTACAATTCAATAAGAACGCTGCTATGCGAACGACAAAGTTGTGCCCGATTGACGACCGACACACAGCGGCCACCATTGGATGCAGTTGGCCATCAATTCTACCCCGCTGGATTCAAGTGTCGGGTGCATATCGGCCAGAAAACATCGTGTGCACAGCAGTTTCGATTCAATAATTAAGTTGGACACGGTTTAAAAGTAGGATATATTAAGTCGAATCTATTTTATTTTACCCAACCGGCCGAAATACTATATGTATGTACCTATAGAAAGTTGGAAACTGTTCTAAACTTCTAGTGTTAAAAACAGTGGTGTAGAAATAACTGCTAAATTTCAATGGAAAGGACTATAACAAATCTTGAACAGTTATGAGGTTTAGCTAAATGTCAACATGAACACGGTACCTTTGGGAGAAACAATTGCATGACATACTTAAGCCTCAAAGTGATTTTACACTGTACATAATTATGCCATAGATAACGGACAAATTATTTTACTCTGTATTTGTTTACTGGTAAAAACCTTGCCATCATTTTGAGAAGGAGCTAGACAAGGAAGGGGGATCACCTTAGTTTGGAAGTCCACGGACTGGGCCTCGGCCTTGTACTTGCACACTGCGAGCTCCTGGAAGGATGGCTTGAGCTGCAGCGACGCGTCCACGAAAACGCCGTTGGCGAAGGCGACGCGCGGACCACCGACACTGGACGCGTCGGCGAGCACGAACTGCACCACCTGCTCAGCAAGCGCGTGGAGTCCCTCAACCTCGCCTTCTCCCAGTGTCGTGGCGAGTTGGTTGCGGGTGGCGCCCCCCGCGCCAGCGGTGATGAGGCTAAGCGCGACATGGAGGGAGACCGGAGAGAATGCGGCATTGTTGATAGTAGACTCGGGGTTGGATGAGATAGCGGAGGCGAGGCGGAAGGCAAAGCGGGTTTGGTGCGCAATGGAGAGGCGAACGTCAGTGGCGAGGGTGGTTGCCATGGCTGGGGTGGAGGTTCGCTGGGCTTTTGTTAGAGTTGAGAGGAAATCGGATGACTGGGAAGTGTTGTTTTCATGGCTGATTTGTGGCTATTTAACGGGAGCAACAAGCCCAAGATATGCAAAGCAGGTTCGAAGCATCTGCGCCATAAAGCAAGATAAGTGGTTTGTTGTCTCTTGTTTAATTATTCATCGTCGTGTCATTTCGTATATATGTAAGAAACCTGAACTTATCCTATCTCGAGTTAGCTGGTGCTTGTGGTTTGTTATTCCCGTACGTCTGAGTTTTGTAGAACATTGGATTTGTGGGAGATCACTACGCCCCTCGTAACCTTTTAACTGATCGTTTTAGAAGCATTGTTTGTTTTCTCAAAATCACACAACCGATTAGCAATACTATTTCCAAGCTTGAGATAGTGGTGCCAACCTGTAAAGTTGTAACTAGTAAAGAAGATGTGCATGTCATTGCATAATTAGGATTTGCATCACACAACTGATTAGCAGTACTGAATTCCAAGCTTGAGATAGCTATCCCTGTGTGTAAAGTTTTAACTAGAAAAGAGGATTTGCACAATATTGCATGACAAAGCCTAATTGGGATTTGCATCACTTGCCGTGGGGTGTGGGCTTAACTTATAGTCAAATTAAAGTTTATGATCCAACAGATGACACTGTGGCATATACGACGCTACCCGTAGAACATGACAAACTGATAATATGTGCTTTTCATCACTTTTGCTAGTTTCCTTGGAACATCCGATTTATGTGGCGTCTCGTGACCTTTTTGTTGTTTAGAGTAGTTTAGAAGCATGGTGTTTTCTTAAGATCACACAATTGATTAGCAATACCGAATTCCAAGCTTAAGATAGCGGTGCCAACCTGTAAAGTTTTAACTAGTAAAGAAGATGCGCATGGCATATCATAATTAGGATTTTCACCATACAACTAATTAGTAGTACTAAATTCCAAGCTTGAGATAGCTATACCAATGTGTAAAGTTTTAACTAGAAAAGAGGATTTGCATGAGATTGCATGACAAATCCTAATTGGGATTTGCATCATTTTCCGTGGGGTGTGGGCTTAACTCGTGGTCAAATTAAAGTTTATGATCCAACGAATGACACTGCTGCAGATCCGACGCTACCCCTAGAAGATGATAAAACTGATAATATGTGCTTTTCATCACTTTTGCTAGTTCCCCTAGAACATCCGATTTATGTGGAGTTTGCTACACGTCTCGTGACCTTTTTGTTGTTTAGAGTAATTTAGAAGCATGTTGTTTTCTTAAGATCACACAACTGATTATCAATACTGAATTCCAAGCTTAAGATAGTGGTGCCAACCTGTAAAGTTTTAACTAGTAAAGAAGATGTGCATGGCATAGCATAATTAGGATTTTCACCATACAACTAATTAGTAGTACTAAATTCCAAGTTTGAGATAGCCATACCAATGTGTAAAGTTTTAACTAGAAAAGATGATTTGCATGATATTGCATGACAAATCCTAATTGGGATTTGCATCACTTGCCATGGGGTGTGGGCTTAACTTGTGGTCTAATTAAAGTTTATGATCCAACACATGAAACTGCGGCATATCCAACGCTACCCCTAGAAGATGACAAACTAATAATATTTGGTTTTCATCACTTTTGCTAGTTCCCCTAGAACATCCGATTTATGTGGGGTTTGCTACACGTCTTGTGACCTTTTTGTTGTTTAGAGTAATTTAGAAGCATGGTGTTTTCTTAAGATCACACAACTGATTAGCAGTACTAAATTCCAAGCTTGGATTTCCAATGCCAACGTGCAAAGTTTAACTTGTAAAGAAGATTTGCATGATATTGCACCATATACCAAATTGGGATTTGCATCATTTGTTGTGGGTGTGGGCTTAGTTTCTGGTAGTTAAAGTGTTATGATCCAAAGCAGGGACGGATCCAGAAAAAAATGGAGTGTGTGCACACTTTGTTTTAAAAAGAGGTTTATTTCAATTGGTTTGGATGGGCCTTGAAAATCAGTTTTTTTGCAAGGAAAAGGTGAATTGAGTCATCAAGCAACAACCAAGTCTGCATTACATAGTTTCGGGACCTCGTCTGGACCCGATCGAAACCATTATGTAGCGCGCTTCTTAATTCGACCAAAGTTTGCTAAAAAGTGAATAACAACGTTTTGTTCTCTCCTCACATGCTTGATTAAGAATTCACCACGATCCTGAAGAAGAGCAATAATGTCTCTAACCATCATCATATGCTCCAACCAGTCATCTACTCCTTCCTTGATCAGCTTTACCACTTCAAGGCAATATGTTTAAATCGCAATTAGCAACACAGACCACTGGGAAGCAAGGGAGATGGCCTCAAAACAAGCAGCTAATTATTACTACATGGTAAAAAAATATTTCCTAAAATTCTAGGTGTGTCATGGCACACCCCTTAGGTACATCCCCTAAGAGAAAATTCATAACATATAAAAAGATGTTCGTGACATTTTCAAAAAATATTCTAGCACTTCAACATATGCATGCACGTTTAAGAAAACATTCATGTCACTTTTAAAAAATGTTCAACATGTGTTTAAAACTTCTCACTATATATCTACAAAATGTACATTGTGCATTTTAATAATATCCAACATGTATTTAAAAAAATTTGAGCGGGTACCTTGAAATGTTTGATTTGATTTACAAAAAAACATTCATTTTTATTCACTGGATCCACCTCCCCTCCGCTTGCTACTCAGATAGCCACTGGATCCACCTCACTACGCTTACTACTAAGATGGCCGGTGACCGGTAGATATGTGACTAGCAGATAGGACATTCATTCGAGCTTGTGGATCCACCTCCCCTCTGCTTGCTACTCAGACCCGATGCCTTGGCTCTAACTAGTTGTTGTTGGGGAACATAGTAATTTCAAAAAAATTCCTACGCACACGCAAGATCATGGTGATGCATAGCAACGAGAGGGGAGAGTGTTGTCCACGTACCCTTGTAGACCAAAAGCGAAAGCGTTAGCACAACGCGGTTGATGTAGTCGTACGTCTTCACGATCCGACCGATCAAGTACCGAACGCACGGGCACCTCCGAGTTCAGCACACGTTCAGCCCGATGACGTCTGAGGGAGTCCTGGATTAGGGGGTGTCCGGATAGCCGGACTATACCTTCGGCCGGACTCCTGGACTATGAAGACACAAGATTGAAGACTTCGTCCCGTGTCCGGAAGGGACTTTCCTTGGCGTGGAAGGCAAGCTTGGCGATACGGATATGTAGATCTCCTACCATTGTAACCGACTCTGTGTAACCCTAGCCCTCTCTGATGTCTATATAAACCGGAGGGTTTTAGTCCATAGGACGAACAACAATCATACCATAGGCTAGCTTCTAGGGTTTAGCCTCTCTGATCTCGTGGTAGATCTACTCTTGTACTACCCATATCATCAATATTAATCAAGCAGGACGTAGGGTTTTACCTCCATCAAGAGGGCCCGAACCTGGGTAAAACATCGTGTCCCCTGCCTCCTGTTACCATCCGGCCTAGACGCACAGTTCGGGATCCCCTACCCAAGATCCGCCGGTTTTGACACCGACATTGGTGCTTTCATTGAGAGTTCCTCTGTGTCGTCACTTTTAGGCCCGATGGCTTCTCCGATCATCAACAGCGATGCGATCCATGGTGAGACTTTTCTCCCCGGACAGATCTTCGTATTCGGTGGCTTTGCACTGCGGGCCAATTCGCTTGGTCATCTGGAGCAGATCGAAAGCTATGCCCCTGGCCATCAGGTCAGATTTGGAAGTTTGAACTACACGGCCGACATCCGCGGAGACTTGATCTTCGACAGATTCGAGCCACAGCCGAGCGCGCCGCACTGTTACAATGGACATGATTTAGCTCTGCCGCCGAACAGTGCCCTGGAAGCCGCACCTGTGTCCACTCCGACCCCTAGCTTGGAGCCGATCACACCAATCGAGGATGGGTGGTTAGACACCGCCTCGGGGCTGCAATCTCTATGGCGATCGAGCCGAACACCATCCCTATTCTCTGCGAAGCCCGTGACTCCAAGGATCCAGACTCCTCTCCAGACTCCGAGCCCTCCGCGCCCCGACCGATCGAACCCGATTGGGCACCGATCATGGAGTTCACAGCCGCGGACATCTTTCAGCACTCGCCCTTCGGCGATATTCTGAATTCACTAAAGTCTCTCTCTTTGTCAGGAGAGCCCTGGCCGGACTATGGTCAGCAAGGTTGGGATGCGGATGATGAAGAAATTCAAAGCCCACCCACCACCCACTTCGTAGCCACTGTCGATGATTTAACCGACATGCTCGACTTCGACTCCGAAGACATCGACGGTATGGATGCCGATGCAGGAGACGATCAAGAACCAGCGCCTATAGGGCACTGGAAAGCCACCTCGTCGTATGATATATACATGGTGGACACCCCAAAAGAAGGCAATGGCGATGGAACAGTGGAGGATGACCCCTCCAAGAAGCAGCCTAAGCGCTGGCGTCAGCGGCGCCGCTCTAAATCCCGCCAAAACAAAAACGGTGATTCCGGCATGGGAGATAATAACACCCAGGACAGTGCCGAAGACAACCACCTCTAGCAAGATTCAGCACAGGAGGATAGAGAAGCCATCCCTCATGAGAGAGCGGCAGACAGAGAGGTCGAGGACGATAATTATATGCCTCCCTCCGAAGACGAGGCAAGCCTCGACGACGACGAATTTGTCGTGCCAGAGGATCCCGTCGAACAAGAGCATTTCAAACGCAGGCTTATGGCCACGGCGAGCAGCCTCAAGAAAAAACAGCAACAGTTTAGAGCTGATCAAGATTTGCTAGCCAACAGATGGACTGAAGTCCTTGCGGCCGAAGAGTATGAACTCGAACGCCCCTCCAAGAGCTACCCAAAGCACAGGTTGCTACCCCAATTAGAGGAGGAAGCACCTAAACCTACATCACCAGCGCATGATGCGGCCGACCGGCCACCCCGTGGCCGCGA